TATATATATATATATACATATATGAGATATTATAGAACTCTAACAACTGGTCAACCGCAAATGAACACTTCATTCCCCTTCTCCTTTTTCGATTCCCATCGATTGCCCATAGCCCATCCTCTCCTCTCTAAATCCTTTCTTACGGTGTGCCCTTTTTGCATTTCGAGATCTTCATCCCTCGTACTTTCGTATGAAAGAGGTAAAAGCTGCGTGCTCTTTTGCGCTCTACACGGTTTTCATTGGAAGAATGCAGTGTCCCATTCTACGATGGGAAAACTAGTCTCTCTTTAAGTCGACCACCATCTATTTCTTTATCTCTTTCCCTTTTTTTTTCTTTCAGGCTACTCCATTGGGAATATAGGGAAAATAAAGAAAAAGGAAAAAAAAAATATGAATCTGGTTGGAGGAATATAAGAAATGGGAATACTACTGACCGATGTCAGGTATGTCCAGTTTTGTTATATTTACAGGAAATGTATATCAACCCGATGATCTTTAGAACGATTCTTACGCAAAAGGATCAGCTATTGAGATTTCATCTGGATTTATTTGACTTTAAAAACCTTTATTTATACATCGGTTAAATGTTATCTGCATTTAAATTACTAAAATAAATCCAAAATAAGTCCAAATAATATTATTGCTTAAAATGAATAGCGAATCTCTATTATTCTTTTATATTTATTTTATTTATACGATCCTTACCACAAAAAAAAAAAATCATCTATCAAAACTTCGCGGATCTATTTAATTATAAAAATTATATTTATTATACGCGCGTATTAATATTAGAATTATTAAAAACAGTCACAATTATTGTAATTTATTGTAATTAATTGTGCAAACGTGAACGGGGGTGTGATTTTATATATGTAAAACTAACGATAAATCGTAAATGAAATAATAAAATATTCATGAAAAATTGTTCGTACGAAGTTTCGCATTTCCGAGAAAAAATAATTTTTCGAAATATATCGAGTATATATTTTATATACCATGATAAAATAATAATGACCGATAGTAAGTAGTGCATTTTCATTCTGAGATCGTTCGACCAAAAAAAATACATCCAGAACGGTTAGCTTCATTTTTTTACCTGAGTGAATCCATCGTTGTTCAGGGGAGTATGTCAACATTTTTTTTTTCCTTTAACACATGTTTTTAGGCGCAACCCTTTCATAATTCAAAGCTCTTAAATGATTATGTTTTTGTACCACGATTGTACGCATTCAATACTATAAATTCTTGCAATAATAAAAATAAAAAACGATCGATCCTTTAAGTTTTTAGAGTAAATTTTTTTACTTTTTCCTTTCTTCTTTCTTTCTTTTTTTTTTTTCTTTAGTAGAAATGTTCCTCGGAAAGCAGTGTAGAAAAAAGACATGCCAAAAAAAAATATGCTTAAAAAAGCAACCGTATTCGAGGAAAACGATTTCAAAATTGCGTTGGAGGTAATAAATCGTGTTAGGAAACAAAAAAAAAAACAAAAAAACAAAAATAAAAAATAAAAAAAATCGGGACCTTTTTTTTCTCGCGTGGAGACGACCCCTCTGCTCTGGGTCGTGTAAAAAAGAAAAAGAGTTGGTTGGGTGAATTGAAAAAGAAAATAAAAAACATGGGACAGAGTATGCAACAGGTTTCGATGCTTAAACTTTGAGCACGAATAATTCTTACAATTTTTAACGTAATTTTTTTTATTCAATAATAAGTTAAGACCGTATCGACGATCATAAAGAATGAGAATGCATTCGAACTTTCTTTTTTCAAATCTGTAAAATTGGAGAAATAACTTATGCTACTTATAACAAGTTTCCAAAGACGTCATATTGAAGGTAGCTAATTTTTGTTTTCAAAAATATTTTATTATTTTTCGTAAATTTGTTTTCTATATTAATTAAAAGTGTAATAATAGAGCATGAAAAAAAATTCGAATCATGACTCGTTTTTATTGTAAAAAAAATTCACGAAAATATTCTTATTTTTAACTTCTTAACATTATAACCATCAAGACCAATTAAAATGATTGTGATTGAAGTCTGTTTAAATATTAAAATCTCTTCGAAGGAAATCTATATTATTGCATTTCTTATTTTATTTTTTTAATCTATATATAGTATATGATATTATGTATATATTTTATGAACAATACGTTGTTTAATCTGAGTTTTCATTAAGTAAAAACTAAAAGAAATTAAAATAAAGTTTCTTTAATAACCAGTTACTTTAATTGGTCTGATAAAAGTAGAAACACATTATTATTTGATAGTTTTACTAATGAATGTGTTCCAGAAATTTCGTTATAATGTAATATTTATTATAAAAAAGAAATATCTTACCTTGAAACGTATTAGTCAAGGACTCTCTCATTTTGCTTACTAAACTACCTATTGAAATTAATTCACGAATCATTATCTAAAGATAGACCTATTGATAGATTAATGATTTATAATTTATCTGTAATCATAGCTATTTTTAAATTTACCTTGAACACCAGTAAGGCCATAATTTCCTATGACGTGGAATTTGTTTGCTGTAAAATAAATCATAAGAGAAAAACGGTATAGTTATTTATCATTTTAATAGTAAATTAATAAATGTATTAGTAATATTTTGATTTCTATTTTTGAAATCAATCTTTTTAGACAAACTAGTCAACAAAAGAAATTTTTTAAACATTATTATGCTAACATTATAGATGCAATTATATAATAGACATTTTAATTAAGTCAGTATTTATTCTATTATGATATTTTCTATACTTTTATAGACAAATAATGATAGGAATTTTCTAAGAGGTTAGATTTACTTTAGAGGTTAGCAAATAAAGTAAGAAATGACAACTGTTATACTAGCATACCTGGAGTGTAATTTGTTATAAAAGATCTTGCTATATTCACTACTGTTCTTGTCAAGACGTTCATGATCAATTTAATTACTAAATATTTCTAAACAATTATCCTCCAGTTTCGCAAAAAATTCCAAACAAATTACTCTTGTAGACGCCTACCGATCAATCAATCAACTAATCACAGTCCGTTGGATAAGGTAGGAATCCCATTTATCCTTAAATCATTTTCTATTTCCACATTTTTTTCTACAATTTGTTTCTCAATTCTTTACTTAACTATTTTAAACGGCACATTAAATGAAAAGAGCTATTATAAACCTAAATAATTTGAACGAATAGTTGAAATGACATCCGCATTCCTATGATCATAAGTTTATACAAATGTTGCTTACAACAGGGGCACATTTAAAAATTGATTGAAATGTGACCACATATGTACCGTAAATATTTGAAGAAAAATGTAACAAATGTTGCTAATATTATATTTATTTGCAGATATATATACAACAACATAATTCATTTGGAAATCTTTAAAATAGGATAAAAGATATATTAATAAGACGACCGATAGAAATAACGCATTTATTAGAGAGATGCAAAAATTGGTACAAAAAAATGACTACAATGATTAAGTTATTGTCTAGAAAAGATGTTAAAAACCTAAATCGTATCAACGTAGCTGAAACATTGATAAACAGTAATGCCGAGTTCCCTTATAGTCCGTGGTAACCGAAACCATGACCACCGAACCCATGTCCAAGAGCTACACCGGAATGGTCAAGATACGATGAGGAATAAGTCGGAGCGCTATATCCATGAGACAAGGGGATCGGTGCACTGTTGTATCCATGAGAAACAAGAGGTGCAGCTCCGTAATTATGGCCTAAAGAGTAACCCGCTGAGTTTCCCACATATCCACCATGACCATATCCTAAACGACACAAAAATATACAAACAAATCTTTGGAAACACCAGTTCAATGTTTATTACGGAAAAGACATCGACACCTTTCCGATTTATTATCTAAAAAGGTCAGGATTCGAATGACCGGTCAAGAAAGTTGTCGGATACGTTTGCTTTTTCCGGACGTAAGTGTGATACTTTTTTTTAAGGATTCAGTAAGATAGGCAAAGAAAAAAAGGTACAATAACTTAAGTGAAATCATTTTTTTGTTGTCTACCTCCGAGTCCTCCAATTCCTCCTCCGTAATAACCACCATATCCGAGACCGAAGATACCCCTTTTTTCGTGTTTTTTAATTTGGAGTGGTTCCTCGCTAAAAATTGGTGAAGCCAGAGAGAGGATGGCAAAGAGTAACTATAGGGGAAAATAACAGGCAAACAAGATTAAATCAAATTAAATAATCATATCGATATAGCATATAATCGTAACAATTAATTAAAGTTTAATCAAACGTTATAATAATACAATATTGTTACTTACTATAGCGTTCATGTTGATAGTGCGTTAGAGTGGATGGATCGCTGCTATGAAACTGATTCGGTCACCATGAGACACACCCCTTTTATACCGGTGGAATCTTTAGCCACGAGATTGAATTCTACTGAGGTGTACACATCTACAAACAAATTTAGCTATACGGGTAGCAGGTTTGACAAGCGTATACGTATATGCGTACAAGGGGAAATGGTTCACGGAGGACAGAGTAGTAATAGGTATGGTGTTACATACGGTGCGTGTCTCCACACGCCTTTCTAAAGCAATTTTTCCCCCTCGTTCCTCACGAAAATTCTTTATTGCAATATCTTACCTTATAACAATTTGTTCTCGGATCTTACGGAATCTATGAGAATTGGGTTAAAAAAAAGATAGAATAGAGATCAGAGATCAGAGATCAGCCGGGATAGATCAATCATTCCTCATAATTACAGTTGTTATTCAATTACAAGTATCCTTAAATTCATTCATTTTTTTTCTTCTAATTATTATGTTTTATCCTTCAATTTTTTTTAGTGTATTTAAAGATTCTTTTTTTTTATATATAACTCAGATATACTTCCAGCATCAATGTATTTTAAAGTTAAATTAATATCTAATAAAAAATAATAATTAATTAATAATTGAATATACTTTACTATATTATTTAAAACGATTTAAAATAATATAACAATAGTACCGACGGAAATAGGCCGACCATTTTATTGTTCCATTCGACAAAGGGGTTAAAGAATATCTTTTTGTTCCCTTTTCTTCTTTTATTGACATACTTTTAAAGAATATTTTCTAAATTTTTCTTTTCCACAATTCATTATAATGATTCTGTTCCAAAGAAAATTGGATCATTAGGTATCATTACAGCATACTATATCATATAACTGGGTCATACAAAAGGAGGAAGAGTCGCACGTTGCTCGATTTTCTTCTTTGACTTACTACTGTCCGAGTCAAGAAGAAAAAAAAATAAAAAGAAGAAGAAGAAGATGATGAAGTCGAAGACGATGATCAAACGTTCTCAGTTTCGCGCACGATCCCGATAGAAAATCCTGGAGGAGGATCTTTTTTTTCCGTGCATCTCCAATTTCATTCTTCCTTCTCGTACTGCAAGTAAAGAAGGAGAAGAAACTTTCACCGTTATATACTAGGACTAACAGTCCACTAGTTGTCTGTTGGCTTACGGTTTTCGGTTGCAACGTTACGTAAAAAGGTACGCAAGTATAAAGATTTTTCTGCGCGGTTAGTGCGTTCTTTCAGTATCGCACTTCCTCTTTATATTAGCTCTATTACGTATACCGGGGTTTAGAAATAACAAGAATGAGATATTAATTCGTTTTCTAATATAATCAATAATTTCGTAAATTTTATATTTGTTTTAAGATTTGTACTTTGGTTCGTTGAATTTGAAAATTGATTTTCAAAAATTCTGATTTAATCTTTAGAATGTGGTATAGTGAAAGATAGAAAAAATAAAAAGTTTTTCAAGAATTTGTCAAAGAAATTCATGAAAATTAGGATACATTTTGTATAAAACGAGAAAGTTCACCTTTGACAACAATTGGAGTCCCCTATGGCGTAAGATACAACCCTTTCGTTACAGTATGTTTGGGATAAAATGTGACCTTTCTTAACAAAACGTATTATTCACGAATCAATTCAAATACATAATGGATAACCTTGATAGTTGACATTAGCATACAGAATGCACATAATAAATGATGGAATTTTTGTTTCATTCAATTTTATCATTAATCTTAATTTTAACGAATGACAGGTCAAGTTTAAATAAATAAGAAATTTTGTGAGAAAAAGGGTCGAAACTGTATTATTTGAAAAGAAAATCTCATTTCTAACACAATCATCACTGTCATCGTTTCAATTATTAAGAATTTCCGTGATTCATTTGTAATGAATTAACATATATTGAATATAAAATTATATTAAATAATGAAAATAAATTAAACACAGTTTTCAGAGTAAGAGTCATTGCAAGCTAATAGTATAAATAATACCGAATACTTGACCGATTTTGATGGTTTTTGAATTAGTCTTTTTTTATATTCAAATTAGAACACGTCACAGTGTTTTTTTTCTCTCATGTATTATTTAAATAATAAAAGAGAGATTAATTATAAAAGATTAATATTTTTATTATAAATTTAATATTAATTCTAAGGTAAGAGTTAATAAATATTTAAGATATTTCTTTTACGTATATTTTTATTGTCAATACATATATATATATATATATATATATATATATTTACTAAGTTTAATTTTATTAACCCTTTCGATCCCCTCCTTACAGCCACCCCCACCTCAATTAAAGTCGCTACCCTCTCGACGAATGTAAGCCATCTACAATCATTCTTCGGTACTTTGCTTTACGGATGCGACTCCTACGGTAAGTATTTTGATTTTAAATATTGTAACAATTAAAATGATGATTTTTTACTTTCGTAATTATTAAGTTGTTTAGATTGCAAATAGTGTTATAGGTATAAGGTTTTGTCAAATCATAAACTTATTGATTCATTTTTAAATGTTATAATTCTTCATTATTTATAAACTGCCATCTAATGTGAGTATTTTAAACTACTCGTCTAGTAAACACGTATTGTCATATGTATTTGATTCAGCGGCTATTAAATGTAGGTTAGGATGAAATAATTTGTAAATTTGTTATTTTTAAAAATTTGTCGTTAAACATATTTGTTATTTTCATCTAAGTGTACAATGATAACGAAATATATAATACAGTTAATAAGAGTGTTTTACTTAAATATTTGTTTATCATTAATTATAAATGAAATTTGTGTTTACTATTAATTAATAATAATATGAAGAGTTTAAAAATCTTATTATGTTGTCATAGATGTTTCATATTTCCTTGCAATATAAATACATTAATCTTTAATTGTAATAGTAATTCTGCAAATATATTTAATGGAAATCGTAGAAATACTAAACTGCATCAGAAAAATAGAGAAGATAAGTATATGTTTGGACCAATGAAAAGAAAGAAAAAAGAGACATTGACAAAATCAATAGTCGATTTAAAAAAGGAAAACGTATCAATGGATTCAGAACTATGGTGGAATTTAAAAGTTAATAGATCTAGGATGAATTTGATTCGGTTTACATCACAAACTCATATTAACACAATAGCCAGTATGAAATGTAATAAAAGTTATGCAAAGAATCTTCTGCTTGATTGCAATGAAAATAATGTTGCATCCAAAAGCAAGGAAAGTAATATTAAAAGTAAAAAAAGTAAAGATATTAGAAGAAGAAAAAATATAACCGATAAAAAATGTAGCAGTAATAATAAAGATAATAGCAAAAATAATAAAGATGACAGCAAAAATAATAAAGATGATACCAAAAATAATAAAGATGATAGAAAAAATAATAAAGATGATACCAAAAATAATAAAGATGATAGCGTTTCAACAAAAACTATTCCTAATGAGTTAGAAGCTCCACAACCAAAGAATGAGAAATTAGTAGATGTACATATAATTAAATCAAGTCGCTTTCCAATTTTTACTGAACAGCAAAAGATTCCAAAAGCGCTAAAACAATCAGAAGTATTATCCCTCTCTCTGAAAGACGATCCAGAAATTCTTTATTATCCATCTGTTACTAAAATTTTATCTGAAACTATGTCTCCGGAAGCTCAAAAACTTTTAAATTTGTGGAAAAACAAACTTATAAAAGAAATGGGAGAAGAGAAATTCAATGAGTATCAACAAGGTAATAACCAAGTTATTCATTTGCTTAACACGTTCCCTGTCGCGTGGGTCGTATACGCCCCACGCTGAACTTTCCGTTCATGCCAGAACAAAAGGCATACGCCAGAAACAAAATAATACAAATGTAAAGCGTGGGGCGCATACGCCCCATGCGGCTTGAACGAGAAGTCTTCAAAAGACAGTCTGGCAGGGAACGTGTTAATCAATTACCTACGCAAAACAAAAAGTAGTAGTAGTATATATATATATATAATAGAAATTTATTTTAAATATAAAAAGTTAAGCATTGACAACACACACACACACAAGTACTTTGTTAATGAAATTTAAACAAATTCTAAAAGTTAAGTTTATCACTTTGACCTGCAAATGGCTCAATTAAGTATCTTGAGACATTGTTAATATGCAATGATGATTTTTTTTAATTTACAGAGCTACTGAACAATGGAAAAATATTTCATTCTTGTATAGAAGATACTTTATACGGGAGAGAAGTCGATATACCTGAACATATTCTTCCAGCTTATAATAGTTTAAGTAGTATTATAAATGAATTAGAAGATATTAAAGCAGTCGAATCGTTTGTTTCCCATAAGGGTTTGTGCTACAAAGGAAAAGTCGATTGTATAGCAACATACAGGTAAAACATTCTTACCAAAATTTACTATAATAAAATAATAATTTTATGCGTATGAAATTTTACTACTTTTTATTATTTTCTGTTTCTATATTAATATCATTTTATATTCTGATTATAATATAATATATATAATGAGATTTATTTCAAAGAAAAAAATCATAATCAATGCAAACTTTCTTCATAGGGGCAAATTATGCGTTATTGATTGGAAAAAATCGGACAAAGATAAAAAAAAATTAAATTTAACTTATGATGCACCGATACAACTTGCCGCTTATGTAGGTGCTATTAATTCCTCCAAAAGTTATCCATTTTCGGTAAGTTGTTTTTAATTTCTTTCTTTATTTTTTTTTTCTTCTGTTTATTTGTTCAAGAAATATATTTTGTAATTTTTAATAAAATTCGATATATTTTATTAGATCCACTATGCCATGATAGTTGTCGGTTACACAACGGGAAAACCTGCGGACATATTTTTTTTATCAGACCATCATTTAAATGAACATTGGTATAGATGGTTAGCAAAACTTAAAAATTATTGGCATAATGTTAAAAACCAAAACAATTGCTCGGATTAAAATATAACTGTTATTATATAATAACAAACAAATAAAAGTCGATAATTTAGCACATTTCAAGCCGATCACTAAAATTGAACAACGTGGGAACCATTAGTAACATGAACGGGTGGTCTGCTGAAGAAACAAAAGATAAAAACCGTGTGCTATTGACTCCAGAAAGGCAATAAAAAGATGTGACCTCTTTGATAGTATTAAATAAGTGTGAGAAAGTGAGGAAGTACTCTCCCTTTTGGGAAAGTAGAAAGATATAATAAACAAATAAAACAAAGAACAATCGTATAACGTCTGATTTTTTGTGTAATTATTTTTACGAGTAGAATACACCTGTAGAGATTGACAGAGATTCACTCGACTCATTTTGTATATCTCGGAATATAATATAGAAATAATAAAGTGAATTATTTCAATCTATTTCTTTTATTTATTATCAGATACTCTCATTCTATACATTTTTCAAAAAGAATAAAAATAGATAAGGCAAAAATATATTAAACCAAGGAACGAAGAAAAAAAAAAAGGTCGCTCGCTTTATTGCTTTGCTTAGAAATAATAAAAAACGTTTTTGTATTTTCAATTATTAATAACTAATTAAATAATTAATTAATAAAAAGTGAGCAATTATGGATTTTAAATGTGCAATTAGTGAACAATTAAAAGCACCTATTCATTTCTTTCTGCGGTGAAGGTTTGCCTACTGTCGATAATTCTGATAGTAAGTTTTCATCAGATCTTCTGAGCCGGTAAGTCGTATTACTGACTGTTGATAAGATAAAGGTAGAGCACTGCTATTACTGATATGATGCTATGCAATGTTACTAGAATTTCAATAAATTTTAAACTTGCTTATCTCCTAGTAACTTCTAATAGCAAATAGTGTATACAAAGTGAATGTGTAATTAAATTTTATATACATTTAAAAACAAACAACAATTAAAAATCTTATATAGATATTTTGCAATTATTAATTAGAGGAGTTTACTCGTTAAGAACGATTGTCTTGGAACAGGTACAGAAAAAAAGACTTACTAGATTAAAAAAAAGACCGATATCATATTGGAGCTAGAAAAACCGGAGAAAAACGGACAAACCAAAAGTGAGCAGTTGATTGAAAACAAAAAACAATAGAAAACTTCATTGCTTTGCTTAGAAATGAGAAAAAACGTTTTCGATTTTTTAATTATTAATAGTCAATTAAATAATTAATTAATGTATAAAGTGAGCAATTATATGGAATTTAAATGAGTAATTAATGAGCAATTAAGAGCACTTATTTATTTTTTCTGCTGTTGCGGTTTTATACCAACTTTTTTGTGCTCATTTTTTTTACTGAAAATAATCATACGAACATTTGAGTTTTTGTTGAAAATCACGCGGAACACATCAAGGGTATCTAATTTTTTACTATTACAAGTAAATTATTTTATGTTACATAATATTCTTAACTCAATCCTAAAGCAACCAAAAAATTCGATCGAAAGGAAAAAAGAAAATTAGTGTAATATAAAATAAATTAAAGAAACCGAAAGATATTTATTTATCAGTATTTTGTTATTTTGATGAATATTTATTTTTCATCCTTAAAATAAAGTCTTTTGAATTTGTTATAATTTTTATTATATCATACCTAAAATTTCACAAAGTTAGTTATTAATTTTGTCATGTTTTAATATTAATTTCACATTGAAAAATAAATATTTTTATATTTTGACAAACTTTTTAAATCGGGTCTTCTATATTAGAGATATATTATTTACTATATACGTATATATGTATAAAAAAGAAAAAACAAGTTAAATGTCACAGATAGTTTAACATAGATAGTAATTATAACTTTTTGGTGGCACCCCTACGTGACATGGAATTACGTAACTCACCGTTTGCAGGGCCATACGAACATTGCCATAGGCACAACCCTTTGCCAGTCCCTCGAGTACCGTAAACTAATGCCGAACCTGTGTACTCGGAATTATATCTTTTATTGGGTTTTCTCCAATCTATCGGATACGAGTCAAATCTCTATTCTCTTTTTTGTTTTGAATTTTGTCTGGTATTTTCTTTGATTAAACAACTTTTTTACCCGGCTTGCATTTCCATTGAAACGTCAAGTTAACGCTAAACCTACAACGTGAGCTCAAATAATCGGACGTTAAAATACGATGAAAATGCATAAAAAGTATATACATTATTCATTTTTAAATAATAAGAAAATATTTTTTTCATTGAACTTAAGAATCTTAGAGGATAATACACATAGTTTAAATATCATGTATACAAAATTAAACATGCCTACGATCATTGAGAAATCAGTCCTTTCATGGCAAACATATTATTCATATCATAAATAAATGATAAAATGTAATTAATTGTCACCGGAATTCGATATACTCATACAAATTGTCGAAAACAATATTAAAATAAAATATAAACCGACTATATTGAATAAATCCTTGTTCATCCTGTGTAGATGGAAACATATTCTAAAGAATAAGTTCCAATATACTCATTATAATACCCACGACGAACTTACATAGAATAAAATATAGTACTAGTACAAGACAAGGATATATGAATATCTAGATTTAGGTATTTAGTGAACGCCGACTTTTGGGATGAATCTAAATCTTTTTTGGTAATCCTTGCTAATCCTCTCATAACAACGAAATATTTCCATTGATCCGTCATCCCCCTTTGGAACGGCAGATCACCCTACTCGAAGAGTTATGAAAACGATCATTTTTCTGCTAGACACATCCTTTCCTCTTAAAGTTACAAAAGCGACAAAGGAGAGAAAGAGAGAGAGAGAGAGAGAGAAAGTTCAACTATCGAATTTTTAGTTGTTTTTTCACGCCGCAGCTGTATCATCTTGCTTACTAGTTGGTACCCATTAATATGATGGCAACTGCTGCTGCTAGAGCTGGGACATAATAGCCTCTGCTGGTCTATCTAGAAGAAGCAGCAACGTCATGAAAAGCTGGCGTGAAAGAGAAAAGTGGAGCGTAGACCCGAAATGATAAAGTTTTCATCTTTAGGTCTGCGACGATGTACTTCAACTTTTCCTAGCTGGACGAGAAATGTTCTCTTTCAAAAGTTTCAATCAATATTAGGAGGACGAAGAAGACGAGGAGGAGGAAGAGGAGAAGGAGTAGGAGTAGGAGAAGGTTGAAGTTGAGGATGAGGAGGAGGAAAAGCAAAAGAGAACATGTTGGCTTCTATCACTTATATATATTCGTCGAATTAATTCTACGCTTGGTGTGACGGAACATGTCGCGCGTAAACGTTTATCGGATCGATCGTTATCGTTAGCAACAAATTTACGCTAGATTTACTTTCCAATGATAATTAATAATCCGTAGAGAAGCTTGCCCACGGGAAACTGGCAATCTACAAAGGACCGGATTACACGGGAGATGGAAAGCCTTCGTCGTGTGGCCAATCACCTGTACGGACGATGACCATCCAACACTAATACTAAATCTTTCCTATCCTCTACTCCCATCCCACCCACCTGGGGATTCTGGGTAAACTTTCAGAGACGCGAGAAGAAACGTTTCCTCTTTCCGAAATCAGTCGCCTGTCGAACCGAGTTCGACCCCTTCAAAGTAATGCTTACGTAAGCTGTTTATATTGCTATACTATCTAACAACTAGAAGTAGTACCGGTCAATATTATATCGGACTCAATCCTTTTTGATTTTACAAGCTTCGTCGTAAATCCTTTCAACTTACAATAATAAAATCTTGTCTCCTGTAAACCTGACTATTTTCATATTTCCTCGAATTATTACAATAAAATAAATAAGCAAGTACTCTCTCTCTCTCTCTCTCTTTCTCTCTTATTAATCTAATAAAATCATATTACATATTATTATCAAAATTCATACATATGAAACGAAGAAAGAGTTTACTTGAAATGTTCTACATGATATGAATCAAAATTCTACGCAAAAGTTAGCTCGCGATTTCGTCAATACAATCTCCATATCATTAGAAAGATAGAGTAGGATGAGTTTAAAAAAAAAATGGAAAAAGGAGGGTAAAAAAGGATTGTTCCGATGACTCTCCGAAGGGGGAGAATCGGAAATTCCGGCGCGGTCGTGGTCTCTCGCGCGCATTCACCTCGGCGATTCCACAATTTCGCAATTCTGCTTGCAACGAGAGAAAAGAAGAAAAATGTTGGGGAAAACGCTCGATTTCACGGTCATTGGCTCGTGCATGCGTATATACGTGTTTGTATGTATATATACGTGGGTTGCTATTGCTGCTGGTACTCTTGCCGGATGCTGCGAGTGCTGTTGCGTGCGCAAGAACGCCCCTTTAAAGTTCTTTTCTCTCCCTCGTCAACCGTACCGTTTGTTTCATAGAAAAAAGAAGGAATCCTTTTGTTGCGGATCGTGTCAAAAATGTTAAGTTTCGAATCTTTTTTTCTTTTCCATACAAGAACGATCGTATTATATCTCAAAATTGTTCTTTTTTTTTTTTAACTAATAAGTAAATTAACGAGGAAGATTTTTGTTTTTTCTTCTTACAAATACATATTACATTTTATGGGATTTATACTTTTGGGAGATATGAATTTTTTCAAGTGAACAACGATTATGTCGAAAATTTGTTTTCCCGTGAATTATTAGATTTGAGAAATGGTCCGATTTCGTAAGATTGTAATAGAATATATATATATGTAGATTAGAAAATTACATTTGACGTTAGATATAAAACGAAATCGTTACGTTAGACGAGTTTTTAGATACGTTAAATTTCACGATAATGTCAAAGAATATATATATATACTGATTTAAATTTAGACGAAAACTTATTATATATATATATATATTAAAGAAGATCGTACAAATATTAAATATAATAATAACGTATAATATTAGAATTATATATCGAACATAATATAAATGACGAACAAATTCCTATGTTAATGAATATTATTTAATCGTATCTGATTTCAAGAAACAAAAAAAAACAAAACATCGAATTTGATAATAACATAATACAAATTAGGGATATAGCATTCTATGTAGAATCAAATCTTGTATTATGAAAAAAGGGAAATGTTGAGGAGCAAAGTCACGAAAAAAAAAAAAAAAGAAAAGGAAAAAGAACCGTCAGCTCGGTTCCCGAAGGAGGTGGAACTTGCTCGTGCTTGCCTGGGTAGAAACATGAAATGGGCAAAGGGAAGAAGGAAGAAAGAGAAAGAGAGAGAGAGAGAGAGAGTATCGTAGGTGGTAGAGGAAGGTGGTTCTCGGTTAAATGAGGCTAACTCGAGTTCTCTCTACCTCCCTTCCTCCCTTCCACCCTTCTCGATCTTCACCCTCCTCCATCTTTCCCTCTTCGAGTCGAACTCGGTACGTTCGTCGAGGTGGGCGCGGCCCCGCACCGACCAAAATCGATTTTGGAAAGA